TGTGTGTGTGTGTGTGTGTGAGTGTGTGTCTTTCTCTGCTGGAGATGAAACTCAGGGTCTAGGGTGTTGGCACATGCTGGAGCACCTTGGAGTTACTCCCATCCCTGCCTCCATTCCTGTGTAAGAGCTGCATACTAGCCAATTGCACCACGGGTGCAATCTCCTGCCTCCGTTTCTGACGCAAATCACATGTCTAGGCTTCTCATACTTAACAAACGTGTGAGTCAGGCATTCTCATGACTTCCTCCTCAATTTTTGATTTTTCCATAATGGCTTATAGAACTCTGGGAAATCTCTCACAGTTGCCAGTTTGTATTGGAAAATGGAATGGCTGTAGATAGATAACCAGACGGAGAGTACATAGGAGCAGTCTGGAAGGCCACCAACCTCTCAACATACAGGTGTCTGCTAGCCTGGAAGCTCATCCCAGAACTGTTCAAAAGGTTTTTTTGGTTGTTGTTTGTGCTTGTTACTGTTTTTTTTTTTTTTTTCTGAGACAGAGTCTCACTATGTAGCTCTGGCTAGCTTGGAACTCGCTACTCCAACTAAGCTGGCATCACTAGAACTTACAGAATCCACCTGCCTCTGTCCTCAGAGGGCTGAGATTAAAGGCATATGGCAACTCCTCCTGGCTCAAAAGTTTTACAATATAGTTCAGTCTGTAGCCAGCCTTCCCCTCTCAGAAGTCAGTGAACAGAGATAAAATATTCAATTCTGAAGTCAGTCGGTCCTCCGGCTCCAATCCAAAGCTGTCTGGGGATCCCATCCTATGCTACCTCATTGGCATAATATAAGGGGAATCATAAGGCGCTCACTGCAAACAAGACACTCCCACCATTCAGAGGATTTAAAGGTTTTAGGAGCTGTGTGCAAGGACCTGAGGACAAAGGCCAGCTATATTTCCTAGTTATACCCATTATATGCAATATTTTAAAAAGTAAAGCAAGGCATTAGAAATGGAGGGTTTTGTTCTTTGCCATTTAGCACATAGGCAATATTAAGGTATGTCCCTTTAAATAATCATGACTTTCCTCAGAGGATGTGCCACTATCTAGGGACCATGTTATTAGAACAAAGACATCCTTAGGAAGCACCAAAGTGACAGATTCTGTTATTTTATTTATTTGTTTGTTTATGGGTTTTTTTGAGACAAGGTTTCTCTGTGTAGTCTTGGCTGTTCTGGAACTCACTCTGTAGACCAGACCTGCCTCGAATTTGTAGAGATCCACCTGCCTCTGCCTCCTGAGTGCTGGGATTAAAGGTGTGCACCACCATTGCCTGGCCCTGATATGTAGTATTTTTTTTTAATTGGTGAGGGGATCAATTCATATGATGTTAGGTAAGGTCTCTCCAGAGTTATCCTATGGCCTATTCCTTGCTTGTCTGTATCCCTGCCTGCCTGCCTGCCTGTCATCGATCAGTCTGTCATAATTCTGGTCACCTGTTTATGCTAGACAGTGTTCTGTCTATGACACCTGAAAGGGGCAGCTCTCTTGTGAGTCACAGTTTTGGTTGCTTCAGTCTGAGGTTACTTGGCCCTATAGCTTTGGGTCTGTAGCTGCATAGTATAACATGTGGCATAGGAGGCCTGGCCTGCTCTCTTATAGTGGCCAAAGAAAGAGGAAGCAGGAAACTTGAGGGCATGGCCAACTGACCCAACTTCTTTCCACCTACCCTACCTCCTAATGGTTCCCCTACTTTGCAAGAGTGTTGTGGGTCAGAGACCAAGCCTTCAGTACATAGGTTTTAAGGGTGTATTCAAGATCAAATCCATAATACTATTTGTCTGTCTATCTATCCATTCATCAATCCATCCAACTGTCCATCCATCTTTCCATCTGCCTATATATATACATCTATCTATTTCTACTTTCCTTAGAATTAAGAGTAAATGAAAAAAACAAGAGGGAAAAATACAAATAAAGGGCTAAGTAGATATCATTGGGGGGCATTATAATGTTCTTACTGAATTGAAAAATTCCAGGTCAGATTCTGATGTGACTGCTTCAGTTGACGGCAAAAGCCTACCATTTCCAGTGATGTTATATGACAAACATTTCCATAAGTTAAATGAGCTAAATCTGAAGCTTCAAAGTTTCACTGAAAGCAAAATTGAAACTCATTATGAGATAAAATCCCT